CTGTGGCCATCAGCTGTCGGGTTCGAATCGGGCCGCCGCCCCACCCGAGCGCGCACACCCGCGCCAGAGGGCGGACTGGGGCTCGTGCGCTCTCTTCTCCGTGCCTGCAGATGCTGGCCTGCAGGGGCGAAGTTGCCCCTGCAGGCCGCACGGGGGGCAATGTTTGGCCCGAGCAGGTCGTTGACTATCGACTTCGGCCCCCGCAGGGTCGTTCTGTTCTGTTCTCTTCTCCTCCTCCTCCTCCTCCTCCTCCTCCTCCTCCTCCTCCTCCTCCTCCTCCTTCATCCCTCTCCTCCATCCCCGACCTCCCTCCTCCTCCTCCTCCTCCTCCTCCTCCTCCTCCTCCTCCGCCGCCTCCGCCTCCGCCTCCGCCTCCGCTTTGCGCACTCTGGCGCAGCAACTGGTGCTCATCTTGTCCGCACGTACGTGCGATCCTTCTCCGTTTCCTTTTCCTTCTCCGCCCCGCCCCCGCTCGCTCTCCCTGACATGGGAAGGGTGCGGGATGCGGCGCAGGGGATGCGCCAGATAGCGATTGAGGAGAGAAGAGAGGCGGGTGGAAGTAGAGGCTAATTTCGACGGCGAGCGAGGGGGGGACTCGGCGGATCCTCGACGACGGTGTGGGTGCTGCGAGAAATCTCAGCGGTGCGCGAGGGGGGGGAAGTGAGAAGGAGAAGGCCTCCTCAGAAGGCGGCGGGACTTCCTAGAAGCCCTCACGCCTTCTGAGAAGTTGTCTATGTCTTCGGGGTCCTCCTCCTTCTCCTCCTCCTCCTCCTCCTCCTCCTCCTCCTCCTCTCCTCCCCCTCCTCCTCCTCCTCCTCCTCCTCCTCCCTCCTCCTCCTCCTCCCTCCTCCTCCTCCTCCTCCTCCCCCTCCTCCTCCTCATCGCCCCTCCTCCTCGCCCCTCCTCACTTCCACCCTGGGCTCACCGCCGACGGACGACCCCCCGGGTTCTGGCAGCCAGCACCAGCCCCGCCGGCGCGTTCAGCGCCTGAAGATTCGGGCGCCGCAGCCGACGGCGTCGACGTCCCCTCTCCTCCGCCTTCTCCTCCTCCTCAGCCTCCTCCTCCTCCGCCTCCTCCGCCTCCTCCTCCTCCGCCTCCTCCTCCTCTGCCCCGAAATCGACTGAACGTGAGAGTGACCTTTCGCCGGAGGGACCTGTGGTGCGGGCCCAGTGGGGCCCCCCGATCGCCCTGCGGAGTGTCGAAACGCCGAATAGAAAAACGCTCACGTGGTTGATGATCGACTAGACGTAAGAGTGACCTTACGCCGGAGTGACCTTTGGTGCGGGCACAGATGGGCCCCCAGATGGCCGAACGCGAAGCGGTAGCAGCGGCTGGCGCGCCTGGAGTTGGCCTCCCCGCGGCCCCCCAAAAGCTGCGCACCAACGGTCACTCTTCCCCAGGGTCACGCATTACGTGTAGCCGAGGTGAAAGATCTGCTCGCCTGTTCAAACATGTTGCGACGCATGGTAAACCGAAGACGCCCACCGTGGTCTCGGTCGCCCGGGCCTGCGCCTGCGCGCCCCATTCTCTCCGGCGGCCCCTCGCCACTGCAGACAGTCCGATGCGCACCAGAGCAGCAGGCACGGGCCGAACGAAAGGGGGGGGATAGGGAAAGGGGGGGTTACGAAATCTGCTGCGTGCAGCTGGTTTCGGCCTCACCGAGGGGCCCATTCCTCGATACATAGCCGCCTCCGGCGCCGGGAGGCGCCGGGAAAATCAGCTATGTGAGCTGATTCTCCCCCCCCCCCCCCCCTTGCTATCCCCCCCTTTCACCCGACCCGACATGGGCAACAGTTGTCTCGTGCAACCTCATTTGTCCACCAGCCAAAACTTGAGATAGCGGTTTCGTCCCGACCTGGCCAAGAACGCTCGCGTTGCTGACCCGTGATATGGACGAATGCTACATTCAAAGAATGCGTCGCAAACATCGGCAATGGAAGGCATCCAGCCGGCATCTGTCCGCTCTCAACGACAACAGAGAATCTAAACAATATAACGGTTTGCTCAGAACGACTCTGTCGTAGATGTTGTGCTTTCGTCTCCAGCCAAGAGATGCGTGAGTCCACTGCTTGCCAACTTGCTTCAAAACCTTGGCTTGCTTCTCCCAGTCTTCTGCATAGCACGGCAGATGCTCTCCCGTCACATGTAAGTAAGCCTCCCATATATACAGCGTCCAGGACAGTCTTAATATCACCACCATTCGGTGTCGTAACCCTTTGAGTTGTAGAGATTTGCATGTGGATTGTTTTCCCCCAGGTAAGCTCCAAGCCGTAGTTGCGCCACTGGGATACTAGCAGTGTGTAGCCGGCATAGAGAACATCCCGGGTGACCACGTAGTTGGGCTCCTCGTCCAGATGTAGCGAATCGATTGCGTTGTGCAGCATGGCACTCTGGACTGCTATGTATGAACATAGAGAAGGCGGACACCCTTGTGCGATTCCAGCTTTCTGCAGTCTCTCGGTAGAGGCGCCAGTGTGGTCTTGGATCACGACGAAGCGGGCCGAGTAGATAGAGCGCACCACTTTCACGATCTCGGCAGGAAGCCCAAATCTTTCCAAAGCGTTCCAAAGGCACTTCGTACAGGCCTCGGAAAAAATTAGCGAACACTCATGCCACATTCATCTGTGAACGCCTCCCCCTTCCCCCAATGTTCAAAGTTGGCGGTGGGTCTGATGAGTTGCACCTCGACCGCAGTCTCCCCCCCGCGTGCCAGCTTTGAGTTTGGGGGGCAGGGGGGGTGTTCACTAATTGTTTCCCTCTACCGTATCATATTTTGCGCAGTGAGCGTTGCGTGATGCCTGGGCGCCGCCTGATTCACAACAGGGCCTCAGCACGGCATTCGGGCGCAGTGCCTTAGCGTAACATGTGCGCTCGTCCTGCCCCTCGCCATCTGCCTCGCCCTCCCTTTCCCCTCCTGCTGATCCTCCTCCTCCTCCTCCTCCTCCTCCTCCTCCTCCTCCTTCCCCTCCTCTTGGCCAGAGTAGGCCGTCCTTCCAGCGGTAGCAGCTGGTGGCGTATCCATACGCAGCTGAGGGCCAGCTATGATCGTCCCCAGTAAGATCCGAGGTGAACTTTGGCTCGCATCGGTTGCTGTGTTTGCTCCTCCTCCTCCTCCTCCTCCTCCTCCTCCTCCTCCTCCTCCTCAGCCTCGTCCTCATCCTCATCCTCATCCTCATCTTCCTCCTCCTCCTCCTCCTCCTCCTCCTCCCCCTCGCAGACGAGGCGGTGAGGCGCGGTGGGAGCGGGGGCGGAAGGAGGCTAGGATGCCGTGGAGGCGGGGGCGGCGGCAGAGTGGGCACCGCGGCACTCGCGCGGGGGCGGCGGCGAAGTGGGCACCGCGGCACTCGGGCTCGTGGGCCAAGGTGCATCGCCCTGGCGACGCCGCGTTTCAGGGCGCGGCAGCGGCGCTCCGCGCTGCCCGACGCTGCATTGCGCGAGGCGGCCTGCTCTGAATTTCCAAGCCTTCCTCGGGCCCACTGGCGCCCCCAGGCCTGAGCGCGCGACCCCCCCCCCCGCGAGCCTCGGCGGCGCCCGTCTCGGGGCCGGCGGCCCGGGCAGGCCCGCAGGCCCCCGGAGGTGGCACGGCCGGGTCCAGGCGGCACCGCCGCCGATCGACGTCGGCGGCGTCGTCGCTCGGCCCGCGCGGGAGCTCGGGCCCAGCCCTCGCCTAGGAGAGCGGACAGGAGGAGGAGGAGGAGGAGGAGGAGGAGGAGGAGGAGGAGGAGGAGGAGAAGGGGGAGGAGGAGGGGGAGGAGGAGGAGAGGAGGGGGAGGTGGAGGAGGAGGAGGGGAGAGGAGGAGGAGGAGGAGGTGGAGGAGGAGGAGGAGGAGGAGGGGGGCCAGACTCCGCCGGGGCCCCCGGTGGTGGGTCCCAGGGGGCGGGTGGGCGGGAGGGTCCCCCCCGCCGCCGTCTGGGAGGTGCGGGGGGAGCGTCGTCGGCAGCTCGCCTATTGCCGGGCTCCGCACTGGGCGCCGGGGAGCGCCGCCCCCGCCGACAGCCCCAGATCGACCCCCGCTTCCGACAGCCGCTGTGCATGTATATGTACATGTACATGTGCATATATATATATATATATATATATATACACACATCACAAGTTGGCACAGGCCTGGACCAGGCGCCTCGGGCAAATGTCTCCGTGATCGCAGTCTTGTCTATGGACCACCTCGGAGCAATCGCCCCCTCTCCAGAGAGCCAGAGGCTGACAAGATCGCAATCGTTCGGAGGTGCGCACAGATGTTTCGGCTATCGGCTGGACCCCCTCCCCGCACCCTTCCCCTGGCGCCCGGAGCGTCGCCAGAAGCGCCGCCAGAGGTGTGGGGGAGGCGGGCGAGCGCCGACCAAAAGATATCGCGCAGGCCTCCAATGTTTGCTTGTTTCTGCAATTCGTTGACCCTTTCCTGGCCCCACCCCTCTTCCTCTGCTCTTCGCTGCCCGGCGCCCCCTGAGATCCGACGCCGCGAATAGAGGCAAGCAGCACGGAGCTCAGCCCACGCTCGGAGCCCCAGGCCCCATTGTCGCGCGGCAATTCTCGAGCCAGATCAGCCCGCTAGGGTTAAGTCGGGCTTGTCCCTCTACAGGAGAAATATTCCCAAATTGGAAAAAATAGTCGGGGGAAGATTTGTTCGACTATTGTTGACCATTCTTGGATTTTCTTTCGTCTGTTTCTAATTTTTCGTCCAAAATCCCCCTGTAGGGGGACAGGCACGACCTAGCACCAGGGCCCAGAAGTTCGCGAACGTGCCAGCTGTGAGACCGATGCGCCCGTCCAGATCTGTGAGGGAGGAAGAGGCAGGAGCGAGGATGATATATGGAAGAGGAGGAGGATGAGGAGGAGGAGGAGAAGGAGGAGGAGGAGGAGGGGAGGAGGAGGAGGAGGAGGAGGAGGAGGAGGAGGAGGAGGAGGAGGAGAGGAGGGAGGAGGAGGAGGAGGAGGAGGAGGGAGGAGGAGGAGGAGGGGAGGAGGAGGAGCAGGGAGGAGGAGGAGGGGGGGCCCGAGGTACTGCGACCTGAAGCTGTTCCTGCTGATCGTCGCCGACACCAGGCAGCCGCGCGGCCGCTCGAGGTCCAGCGACTCCCTGGCCGGGCAGCCCCCCTCGCGACCTGGGCGGCCCGACGAGGCCGCGGCGGCGCTCCTCTCTTCGGACCCGGGCGTCTTGACTACAAGTCGGCGGGCGCCTCGACTTCTGCATGCAGAGAAAGGGCCCTGAGGAGAAGGGGTCCCTCGGACGGGGCCAGGACGAGGATACAAGTCCGTTCCAGAGCGTTCCGGAACGCTCTCAGAGCGTGCCGGGACGGCCCGATACATCCTCCAGAGCCGCCGGATCTCAGAGATCATCGATTTATCTTTCTCCGAGTGTTTATCCTCGTCCTGGTGTCGTCTTCGTCCTGATGTTGCTCCCCCGTTTTCGGCGCGGCGCGGCCCTTCCCGGGCCCTCAGAGAGCGGGCCAGGACGCAGAGCTGGTCCGAGCCCCGAGGCACGGGACCCGCCTCCCTCGGGACCCTTCTCTCTCCCGTATGGCAGCCCAGACGTGCGACGCCCGGATGTTTTCAGGACGGCGTCCCCGGGAGTCCCGACCCTTTCCCCGGGGCCGGCTTTTCGTCCTGGGTCGTTGTTTGACGGTCCCGAGGCCCGGCGAGGGCCCCCCGAGGCCGAACATAGGCAAAAGCCTCCCGTCCTGATTTGGTTTACGACGCGAGCAGGCCTGGGAAAATTCGCCCCGGTCTGGGCCCCGGGCGGGCGGGCGTGTGAAGACACGACGGGCGTGTTTGGCCCCGCTTTGGGCCCAGGGGCCCTCGCAGGCCGGTCCGGGTGGTGCACGGCGCTGCGTGCACGATGCGGGGCGCCCGAGGTCCAGTCGGTGTTAACCCGTCGCTGTGCTGCCTGTGGGCGGCATGCGGGGCCCGGGGCGCCACGTTTGCATTCGCTCTGGGAGGTTGGTCTCGAGCGCTCCTTTCGTTAGTGTCGGGGGCGGCAAAGAGAGGGGCTTGGCATCGCTCGGACGTGTGCATTTTCCTTCGGCGAGGACCATCGAGGAGCATCCTTGACCATTTGGCGAAAAAAACACGCACGAACCCGAACAAAAACACAGGGAATGGACGTCCGAGCGATGGCAGGGGGGTGATGACCAGGGGGGGGTGGATATCATGGCGGGGGCCATGGTATTTCCCCAGATTTCATGGCGCCTCTTCTCATTTCATGACGTCCCTGGCCCCCCCCCCCGCTGGGCCGCGCACATGCCGCCGGTCATGATTTGCACCCCCCCCTCTTGGACACCCTCCTCTTGGCCGCCCCCGTTAGTGGTGCTGGGATGTGCTGTTCTTGTCGTTCCCCGGGGGGCCGACGTCGCGCTCTCTCCCCCCCCCCCCGCTCCCACTGGCCGCAGCATCACCCAGGACGAGGAAAAGAAGTACGATGCCCCAAAGTATGCACCACCACCACCTCCCCGCCCCCCGCCCCCCTCCCAGGAGCGAGGAGGGGGGGAAGAGGAGGGCGGAGGAGGAAGGGGGAACAGAGGGGGCGGTGGTGCATATTCTTGGGACCCGCAAGACGGGACAAGGGTGCATCATGTCTCTGACTCTCCTCTCCCCTGCCTCCCTCGTGCCCCCCCCCCCCTCAGGGAAGGATCAGGATCACGACGACCACCAGCTGGGCTTAAGTCGGGCCTGTCCCTCCACAGGAGGAATACTCAAAAGTAGTAAAAAATAGTCAGGGGACGACTTTTTATGTTTTTTTGATAATTTTTGAATCGTTTTCGCTATTGTTAATTTGTCCTCGAAAATCCCCCTGTAGGGGGACAGGCCCGACTTAAAGCTGGGCAGGCGAGGGAGCCCAGCATGGGGGAGTGGAGGCCGCGAGCCACGAGCGGTGGCAGAGTGGTGTGCTCCTGTGGGATGTTGCTGCCGTGCTCCGCCCCTTCCCCTTGCGTTTAGGTCGGTCGTGTCCCTCCACAGGAGAACCATTCGAGAATCGTCGAACATAGTTTGGGACGCTTTTTTTTCTTGTTATCTGTTTGATTAATTTTTAGTAGAGGTTCGCATATGGATCAGCTTGTTTTGTCCGCAAACCGCCTGTAGGAGGACACGCCCGACCTAACCTTGCATCCCTCATTCATGGGAATAAAAAAGAAAACACCCCGACGCCGATAACTGGCGTTTACAAGGCGGCCCTGGGCGTTTACTGAACAGCCCTGTCCTGTTCCATTCCTTCCCTTCGTGCGTTTACTCAACGGCGTCGCTTGTCGGGGTGCTTATTTACGAGGGTGATGTTCTAGTCTCTACGCAGCCCTCCTCCAAATCCTTCGTACTCCTCGCCCTCCACCCTCCCTACCCTTCCTGCCCTCCCGCCTCTCTCCATCCTCCTCCCTTCTCTTCGCTCCTCATCCGATCTGCCTCCTCTTCCTCCTCCGCCTCTCCACCTCCTTCTCCTCCTCCTCCTCCTCCTCATCCTCCTCCTCCTCCTCATCCTCATCCTCCTCGTCTCCGTCCTCATGCATCTTTCCCATCCGCCACGCTGCCTCTCCGATGAGATGCTCCTCGCATGTCGCCCCCCACTGGGCGCCTCACGCCGAAGGGGGCCGACAACGTGGCATCCAACGTCTGCCACATCTGCGAGCTGCAGGTGCACTTGAAGGACACGGGAACGGGGAGACAGCAAGCGCGGCGAGGGCCGCCCTCTGGGAGCGGGAACTGTGGCGAGTGGATGGCGGTGTCTCTCTTGCTCCGCGCCGCCCCCTCGCCCTCCTCGTCCTCCCCCTCCTCGGCCTGCGTCATGCATCATGCACCGCGTGGATGCCGCGTGGAGGGGCCGAAGCGGCCCAGAGTTGCTGGCGTTTTCAGGGGCTACGGCCTCACACGCCTTGCCCAAACGGGCACAGGTACACGCCTTTCGCCGCATGAGCTTGCCCCGGCGCTTCGCTCGCTCGCTCGTCCCCTCTCGTCTCTGCCCAGGCAGTATCGCAGTTTGGCTGTGACGGAGTTGGTGCCCTCGGCGGGTCCGGATCCGAGTCTCTCTTCCAGAAGGGAGGGGAGAGAGAGGGAGGATGGTGATGGCAGGAGGAGGAGAAGGAGGAGGAGGAGGGCGAGGAAGATGATGATGAGGAGGAGAAGAAGAAGGAGAAGCTGGGCATTAAATGTCGTTGATGTTTGTCGGAAGCACTGGCGGCGTGTGCTTGGCGGGTGTTGGAAGCAGGGGAAAGTGTGTTGAGGCTGTTGTTGGAAGTGTAATAATTGTTCGGGCTTCCAGAGGTTCCTGGAGATAGAGGGGGTTGGAGGAATCGGAGGAGGCAAGTAGTTTTAATGCCGCCCCAGGTCCTGATCCCCCAGATGTCCCTGGAGGTTTCAGGAGGCCCACCGATTGACGCGTCTCCCCAAACAAGTCAGAATACTTGCCTCCCCGATCCTCCAGGGCCGAGGGCAGGACTCAGCATCTGGTGGCGGTGGTGAAGGAGAAGGAGAAGGAGGAGGAGGAGGAGGAGGAGGAGGAGGAGGATCATCGGCGGCGGGCGGGGAAGGGAAGTGAGAAGGTGAAGGTTTTCTCTGAAGGCGGCGGGACTTCTCAGAAGCCCTCGCCCCGTCTGAGAGGTGTTCTGCGTCTTCGGAGAAGGCTTCGAAAACTTCTCAGGAGGCCGCGTGACTTTCGAGCCTTCTGAGAAGGCCCGACCCTTTTTTTCACCCCCAGGCTCGCCGCCGGGATCAGGAGGCTTCACGGCATCATCCACAATCATGGTCTTTCCTCCAGCTCCTGGTTACAGCCCCTCTGGACGCCAATCAGGGCTGATCTACGTTTCCGAGCCCAGTTGCGAGGTTCCCCTTGGCCTCAAGGGTGCTGTGGGTGCATGCTGCGTTTCTGTTTGGCCTCGACAACCCTTTTGGTTGGGGAGGGGCTCCGCGTTCCTAAAGTGTTTCACAGCTTGCCCGACGTTTTCCTTAGGTTTTCGAAGGGAAATCGAAGTTCAACTTCTGGAGAAAGGGGCCTCGTTCCTTATTTAGGGTTCCTTGGGTCAGCGCCCCGACTGTAGCTGCAGGCTCGCGCCGCGTTGACCCCAGCGCGGGGCCGCGGAGTGCCGGCCGCCGCCATTGGCCCAGAAGCGGATCGTGCGAGCAGTCGGCGCTGCTTGGAAGCTGCGATCGCTCCAGGCCGAGGGGTCCACGCCGCGCGAGACGCCACCGCGCGCGCCATCTTGCAACGTGAGCCTGCTTCAGGACAAGCTCGAGGCACGCAGATGATGACGATGATTGTGATGGTGGTGATGACGATGGTGATGGTGGTGGTGGTGATGATGAGGAGGAGGAGGAGCATAAAGATTTTGATGGTGATGCTGATGATGATAATGATGATGATGATGATGATGATGATGATGATGATGATGATGATGATGATGATGATGATGATGATGATGATGATGATGATGATGATGATGATGATGCTAATGATGATGATGATGATGATGCTGATGAGGGCAGGGCAAGGCAGGGCTCAATGAGGCGAGCCCGAAGTTAGCAACAGCAGTCGATCGAAAGAGAAGGGAGGAGAGAGGATGAGCAGGGAGAGGAGCCGAGAAAAGGAGGAGGGCAGAGGGAAGAGGGGCGGAGGCGGTGGAGGGAAGCGGGGGGGAAGAAGAAGGAGGTCCCGAGGGCTCCTCTGAGAGGCAAGGCTCCCATCCTGCTGGCACGCCTGTTCGCCGGGAGACCAGGGCCACCCGCAGAATCTGATATTGATGCCTCACATGGACCCCCGAGCCCCATCATCTTCCTCCCGTCCTCTTCTCCTTTCTCCTCATCCTCCTTTCTCTCTCTCTCTCTCTTCTCTCTCTTTCTCTCTCGCTCGCTCGCTCTCTCTCTCTCTCATTCTCTCCCACTCTCTCTCTCTCTCTCTCTCTACCTCAATCGACTCTTGAGGGTGAGGGACTTTGGGGGACGGCGCGACCTCGACAGAGCGGTTGCTGCCCGACCGCACCTGGCTCGTCTATTGAAGGACTGCGCGCTTGCAGGCGGTCCTCCGGGGGCAGGCTGGATTGTGCCTGATCGACTGACATCAGCCGTCAACAACCGTCCGCCCCCCACATCCAGCAAGGCACCAGCCGCCCCCAGCTCCGTCATCCCAGCTCCGCCGCCCCCTTGGCCTCCAATCCCAGTCGTCTATGATCGAGGGACGAGGCCAGGGGTGCGAGCATGGGCCACGGCCTTTGTGGGCCCCGGAAACGGCAGGGCCGCTTTTTCACCGTTTCCAAAAAACATATCCCTTGAACATGGAAACGGCAAAAACAATGGCGACCGGAAACGGCAAAAAAAACGGCTCCAGGACTGGAACCGGAGCCGGCACCGGTCAAACAACGACGACAGAACCAGTAAAAAACGGCGTCGGAATCGGCAAAAAAGGCAAAACGGAACCGGTAAAAAAACGGCCCTGTCGTTTCCAGGGTCCACGCCGCGCGAGACGCCACCGCACGCGCCAGCTTGCAACGTGAGCCTGCTTCAGGACGAGCTCGAGGCACGCAGATGATGACGATGATGAGGATGGTGGTGGTGATGATGGTGATGGTGGTGATGATGATGATGAGGAGGAGGAGGAGGAGCATGAGGATGATGATGGTGATGCTGATGCTGATGCTGATGATGATGACGATGATGAGAGGAGGAGGAAGAGGACGAGGAGGAGGAGGAAGAGGAGGAAGAGCAATCAGAGGAGGAGGAGGAGGAGGAGGAGGAGGAGGAGGAGGAGGAGGAGGAAGAGGACGCGGGGGAGGAGGAAGATAAGAGGGGGAGCAGGACAGAGGAGCAAGACGAGGAGGAGGAGGAGGAGGAGGACAATGACCAGGTGGGGGAATAAGGAGGGCGAGGGAGGAGCGGAAGTGAGAGGAAGGAGGAGAGGGCAGGGCAGGGCAGGGCTCAATGAGGCGAGCCCGACGTTAGCAACAGCAGTCGATCGAAAGAGAAGGGAGGAGAGAGGAGGAGCAGGGAGAGGAGGCGAGAAAAGGAGGAGGGCAGAGGGAAGAGGGGTGGAGGCGGTGGAGGGAAGCGGGGGGGAAGAAGAAGGAGGTCCCGAGGGCTCCTCTGAGAGGCAAGGCTCCCATCCTGCTGGCACGCCTGTTCGCCGGGAGACCAGGGCCACCCGCAGAATCTGATATTGATGCCTCACATGGACCCCCGAGCCCCATCATCTTCCTCCCGTCCTCTTCTCCTTTCTCCTCATCCTCCTTTCTCTCTCTCTCTCTCTCTCTCTCTTCTCTCTCTTTCTCTCTCGCTCGCTCGCTCTCTCTCTCTCATTCTCTCCCACTCTCTCTCTCTCTCTCTCTACCTCAATCGACTCTTGAGGGTGAGGGACTTTGGGGGACGGCGCGACCTCGACAGAGCGGTTGCTGCCCGACCGCACCTGGCTCGTCTCTTGAAGGACTGCGCTTGCAGGCGGTCCTCCGGGGGCAGGCTGGATTGTGCCTGATCGACTGACATCAGCCGTCAACAACCGTCCGCCCCCCACATCCAGCAAGGCACCAGCCGCCCCCAGCTCCGCCATCCCAGTTCCGCCATCCCCTTTGGCCTCCAATCCCAGTCGTCTATGAACGAGGGATGAGGCCAGGGGTGCGAGCATGGGCCACGGCCTTTGTGGGCCCCGGAAACGGCTGCTCCGTTTTTTCACCGTTCCCCAAAAATGTCCAATGGAAACGGCACAAAATGGCGACCGGAAACGACAAAAAAACGGCTCCAGGACCCGGAGCCGGCACCAGTCAAACAACGGCGACGGAACCGATAAAAAAACGGCGTCGGAACCGGCAAAAAAAACGGCAAAACGGAACCGGTCAAAAAACGGCCCTGTCGTTTCCAGGGCCCACTAAGGCCACGGCAACAGCCACCCCATCTACAGTCGGGGCGCTGAAGAAGGAACCCTTTTCATTGGGGAGGGGCGCCGTGTTCCTGAATTGTTTCGCAGCTTGCCTTAGGTTTGCCTTAGGTTTTCGATAGGAAATCGAAGTTTATTTAACTTATGGAAAAAAAGGGGCATCGCTCCTGATTTAGGGTTCCTTAGGTCAAAGCTCCGACTGTGTCTACTCCGGATTTCGTAATAAAAGGGAGGGGGTCTCATTTCGGGGGGGGGTCTCTTCCAGGCTATCCTGGAGGGCCTGGGGGGGTCTGGGGACGATGTTTTGGGGGGTTCTCCCACGAGGGTGTGTGTGTGTGTGTGAAATGGCTTGTCTTGGAGGGTCCAGACCCCCTCCCTTTTATTACAAAATCTGGAGCAGCCACCGCGAAGGTTTCTCCACCTCGCTTCCCCCTTTTTGTCTGCGCTTCGGGCCCCTCGGCCGCCCCCGCCCGCCCCTGCCGGCCTCCGTCCGGCCGGCAGGGTCCAAGCGGCTCTCCTCTGTTGCTTCCGCCCTCGTTGGGGTCTCCCCCTTGTCTCAAGAGGGAGGAGGAGGAGGGAGGAGGAGGAGGGAGGAGGAGGAGGGAGGAGGAGGGCGAGGACCGTGGTCGGATGGCGGATGGAGTATGAGGTTTTTCGGCGGCGGCTTGAGGCGGGCGGAGTGGACTGGCGACTGAGGGAGGAGGAGGAGGAGGAGGAGGAGGCCAAGCTTCTGAGGTTGATAGACCTGCTGCCCTCCTGCCCCGACACGTCGATGAGCGAATTGGCCGTCTTCGGTTCGCGAGAGGGCGTCGCGGCCGTCCTTTTTGCAGGGCCAGCCCGTCGATTTTGGTCCAAGGCCGCTTTCGTTAAAGGGTGGTTTGCTAAAGGGAGGCTTGGCCACCGCCGAAAGCTCTTCTCTCGGCCAGCGCACTCCCTCGAGAGCCGATGGCCAAAGCAAGGAGGGAGATCGGCGTGTGGCCGTCGAGGTGTGTTCCTGTGAACGCCACCACCAAATAATGCGCAACACCGTCTCTCTTGTCGCTTGCCTTCCCCCAGGAAACCGATGCACCGTATTCTTCGAGAGACGGTTTGAGAGCGCTCCTTGGAGAGAATTTCTTCGGGTTTCGCGTGGGCGCCGAAATTGGTGACCCCCATGCCCCTCGATTTGTTCTTAGATTCGCTTGTGGAACTGCCTTCAGGATGCGCGTTGACACTCTGAAGTCACATGGCTTGAGCAAGGGGATACAGAAATGCTTGGAATCCCGATCAGTGCCCCTGAGCGCTCGATTTTACGACACGAAGGAGCGCTTTATATGAATATGGTGTTGCAGAAGTATTTGGAAATCAGTTGTGATCTTATCCTGACAGATCTTGAGGACGTCACAGGAGCAGGTCCAAGGGTGCATGGGCAGGGCGCATGGCAATGTCAGCGACGCAGAAAAACAGGTTCGCTTGTGCCGACTTTCGCGCGTAAGCTTCCCGGGTAAGGTGGCGCGTGAGCGCCCTCGCTTCTAACGCAGCGGGCCATTGTGGTGGTCCGCGTAGACCGCGGCAGGAGGTCGTTGTGCCATCGCGCGTAAGACCCGTTTCTTTTCGTCGCGAATGTGTCTTCGAAGCAGCGGGAGGGAAAACGAGGGAATCTCGAAGCCGAACAGGGAAGGGAGCGACAGCATTCGGCGAGGACTTCCTGGAGTGCAAGAAGCGCCCGCCCTCAAACATAGACTCCATGCCGCCGCCCTCGCTCAGAAAGCCATTCATACCCGAGAGCAGATTCATGTGTGAGTTTCCAGGCGATGCTTTGTGCGAGCGCTATCCGTCGTGCTCGTGGTTGTGGTTCACTTACTGGCTACTGCCAAGCCGTCGGCATTGGAGCAAAGTGTGTGGCCATCGTTTTGCGAACGCACACCGTTTTGCGCAATGGATTCATTTGTTTCCCCTCTCCTCCCCATGCTCTTGCGAGGTACACGCACATGCCCTACTGCATAGACCGCGGGGATTTCGACGAGAAGTAGAACTAGTAGACCGAGGAGGGGCACGAAGGAGGATGTGGAGCTCGGAGGCCGATAAGCAGAGTGCCGCAGCGCTCGCTGGCCGACCTCGCCAACCATCATCATTTCCCGTTGCCGCTCCGCGAGAGTCGAGTCTTGCCACGGGAGTATGCACCCGGCTGGCTTACGGTTTTGCCCTCAGCGCTCGCAGTTCGCAGAAAGTGTGTATCCACCACCGCCATGCCTGGCAAAGGCAATCGTGGGCCCCAGGATGGTTTACGGACCCTCCTGGCCGTGGCAAGGAGGGTATGCACCGTGCCAAGGCCCAGGATGGCACTGCGCAGGTACGGTGGTGGCGTATAGGTGCAGTCTGCGTACCCTTGCGATACTGCTCAGCACCCTTCTGTTGGCCACTGTGCCGCGTCCTGCCTGCCTGCCATTGTGGAGATGCGTGTGCTTATGCATGCATTTGCTGCGATTTGCCGAAGCAAGCCTGCTACGGCATGGCAATCCGCCATGCGAAGTTGTACACCTTGTCATTGACAGCGGTTGACAGCGGAAGTGATGGCGCTGTGGAGCGTTGCGGGGTGTCTTGGAACGCTCCTAGGGACCCCGAGGCACGGACGGTCACTCAACTTCTTGACGCCAAGCGATTTGTCGCTACGGTCGCGATCAAAAATGTATCCGCACCAACCCACCTAGAAATAATTGCCAGGGGAGTTGCTCGAACCAGGGCAGTGTTCAACATTGCAGTGCAACGGTTTTCTTGGGAGCATGTCGGGGGCCGCAGAAGCGGCGGGCCTGTTTGTTGAATGGCTGAAGACATGTTCTCTCGCCGCCCCAACTTGATTAGGGCCTTCTGGAATGACTTCATGGAGTTAGTTTGCATGGATCTTCGGCTTAACGGACTCACGGGCACTTACCATGTGCTGCGTCCAGGTCCAGGCACGCGACCCTTGTTGCATCCAGGGCTGGTAGGAGCGATTGCCAGGCGAGCTGCAACCAGCCGCCCAGAAAGATCAGTGGATCACCGGCCATAATCAGAAATGATGTCCAGGCAGGTTGCCGTGATCAATGTGGTGTCGGAGTACGCACGAATATACGTTGCCATAATTAAGGTGGTGTCGGAGCACGCATGAAGGATCGGGAGCATATGTTGAATGAGGCAGCTAATTGTCCCATTCCTCGGCGGCTACAGGAAGTTCAAACAAATAGTAGTGTATGCCTGGCCTCGGCCTCGCGGACCTACTCGAAAATCAGACTATTTGAAATTATCGGTTTGTTCCATGTCCTGTGGTCATCGCGCGAGTGATACTTGAAAACGTATGCTAATTACTCCGACGGTAGGACCCCACATAAGAATATGTTTAGCTTGCCTGGGGATCTCCTCCTGCCCCCTCGCTTCTTTCTCTTCTTTTCTTCTTCTCCTGTCTTCTTCTCCATTATCACTCCTGCCAATCCTCCCTTTCCGAGCCGGCCTCTCCTCCTTCCCTGCGTCAACCCCTGCCTCTCCTCATTACCTCCACCACACCTCATCCGCCTCCTTTTCATCCTCGTTAAGCCATCCTACCCCCCAATCCCCCATGCACCGCCGAGCCTCCTGCGTCCTCCTCCACACTGCTGCTTTCCCTGTCCCTCCTCCTCCTCCTCCTCCTCCTCCTCCTCCTCCTCCTCCGCCTCCCCTCTCCATCTTCCTTTTCTCCCTCTCCCTCCTCCGCCTCCTCCTCCTGCTCGTCTCCATCTTCCCCCCCCCCTCCTCCTCCGCCTCCCCCTCATCCTGCCTCCTCCTTAGGCTTCCTGCCTCCTCCTGGGGACTTTTGGGGCCTCTTGGGGCCTCCTGGAGCCTTCTGGGCCTCCCGGGACATACTGGGGCCTCCTTAGGGCACTCCTCTTCCTCCGTGTCCTCCTCGTCCTCCTCGCCCTCTGCTTCCTCCTCCTCCTCCTCCTGTTTCTGCTTCTCTTTCTCGTCCTGCATCCTCCTTCCTCCTCCTCCCTCCTCCTCCTCCTCCTCCTCCTCCTCCTCCTCCTCCTCCTCCTCCTCCTCCTCGTGCGGAACACGACCCAGAGGAAGCGCGCGACGTGCGTCCCGGCGGATACGCGCCGGAGGACGACCCAAAAGTGGCGCGCGCCGGAGGACGACTCGGAGGAAGCACGAGAGGTGCGGGCCCCATAGGGAGGGGGCTCCCGCCTGAGACTTGCTCACAGTTCACTCACAGACGAGCCTCCCGCCTGATACTTCCCCCATATTCAGGCCTCAGGAGCCCAAAAGTGACGACAGTTACAGGTTCGAGGACGACCCGCTCAGATTAACAAAAATGAAGTGCGGGCTCGGGAGGGGGCTCCCGCCTGAGATTTTCTTGCAATTCACTCACAGACGAGCCTCCCGCCTGATACTTCTTCCTTATATGCAGGCCTCAGGAGCCCAAAAGTAACGATAGTTACAGGTTCGAGGATGACCCGCTCGGATTAAAAATATAAAGTGCGGGCCCCATAAGGAGAGGGCTCCCGCTTGAGACGTCCTCGCAATTTACTCACAGACGGGCCTCCCGCCTGATACTTCTTCCACATATTCAGGCCTCAGGAGGTCAAAAGTGACGGCAGTTACACATTCGAGGACGACCCGTTCGGATTAAAGAAATGAAGTGCGGGCCCCATAGGGAGAGGGATCCTGCCTGAGACTTCCTCGCCATTTACTCACAGACGAGCCTCCCGCCTGTGATTTTCCCCATATGCAGGCCTCAGGAGCCCAAAAGTGACGACAGTTACAGGTTCGAGGATGACCCGCTCGGATTAGAAACATGAGGTGCGGGCCCCATCGGGAGAGTGCTCCCGCCTGAGACTTCTTCGCAATTCACTCACAGACGGGCCTTCCGCTGGATAATGTCCACATATTCAGGCCTCAGGGGTTCAAAAGTGACAACAGTTACAGGTTCGAGGACGACCCGCTCGGATTAAAAAATGAAGTGCGGGCCCCATAGGGAAAGGACTCCAGCCAGAGACTTCCTCGAAATTAATTCACAAACGAGCCTCCCGCATGATACTTCCCCCATATTCAAACTAGCGAATGAGTGGGTGAGTGAGTGAATGACTGAATGAGTGATAATGATGATGAGTATGTTTGTGAGCGAATGTGGGCGTGAGTGAGTGTGTGAGTGACGACGATGATGATTGTGATGCTGATGATGATGATGAGGAGGAGGAGTGAAGGAGTGACTGGGAGTGAATGGGTGAGTGAGTGAGTGAGTGATTGTGATGATGCTGCTGATGTGGATGATGATGTTGTGATGATGCTACTGATGTTGATGGTGGTAGGTGTGTGTGAGCGATGGTGATGTGATGACTGAGTGAATGACAGATGACGATGATGAGTGAGTGAGTGAGTGATTGAGCGAGTGGGTGATGATGTAGTGTGTTCCGGTGTGTTCCTGCGCGGGGTGTCCAGAGAAAACAAGAAACCCACTTTTGAATGTGGGGAAACATGGTCACGGCGATGACGCTGTGCTGGTGAACGTGCTGGTGGTTGCAATTGGGGGGTTGTGCTGGGGGGCTTATGCAGGGGGGTTGTGCTGGGGGGTTGTGCTGGGGGTTGTGCTTGGGGTTTGTGCTGGGGGTTGTGCTGGGGGGTCTGTGCTGGGGGGTCTGTGCTGAGGGGTCTGTGCTAGGGGGGGGGGTTGTGGCGGGGGGTCGTGCGGTGAGGTTGTGGTGGGGGGTTGCGGTGGGGTTGTGCTGGGGTGGTTTTGCTGGGGGGTTGTGCTGGGGGACTGCTGGGGGTCGCAACGTGTCCCGAAGGCGTTTCCCTTCTCATTCCCAATACGTTTCCGGGAAGTGTTTCCCGAAGTTTTTCCGGAGATCTTTCTGCACTTTTGCGAAACTCCATTTCTCGAGCTTGCAAGCTTCTCCTTGTCCAGCGTCCTTGCAAGAGTCTCCCACAGGCGTTTCCCTCGCTTTGGACTAGCCGGCCGCTCTGCGGTTGATCGGGAGTTTCTGTATATAGAAGAAGGTGCGTGCGCTTGTTGGCGAGGGTGAGGATGAGGTTCCTCCTCCTCCTCCTCCTCCTCCTCCTCCTCCTCCTCCTCCTCCTCCTCCTCCTCCTCATTTCTCCTCTGGGCACCTCCCCCGGGGCGCGGATCCACCGGATCTGTCCAGATCTGTCCGGAAACGGTGCCGGAGGCCGCTCTGGGCTCCTCTGGGCACCTCCCCCGGGGCCGGTTTTGTGAGGATGTCTCAAGCGAGGGCGCCGGTTTGGGATTCGTCACCGGATCCAGCGGATCCAGCGGATCCACCGCGGATCTGTCCGGAAACGGTGCCGGAGGCCGCTTTGGGCTCCTCTGGGCACCTCCCCCAGGGCCGGTTTTGTGAGGATGTCTCAAGCGAGGGCACCGGTTTGGGATTCGTCACCGGATCCAGCGGATCCAGCGGATCCAGCGGATCTGTCCGGAAACGGTGCCGGAGGCCGCTCTGGGCTCCATGGGCACCTCCCCCGGGGCCGGTTTTGTGAGGATGTCTCAAGCGAGGGCGCCGGTTTGGGATTCGTCGGCGGATCCACCGGATCTGTCCGGAAACGGTGCCGGAGGCCGCTCTGGGCTCCTCGGGGCACCTCCCCCGGGGCCGGTTTTGTGAGGATGTCTCAAGCGAGGGCGCCGGTTTGGGATTCGTCGGCGGATCCACCGGATCCAGCGAATCTGTCCGGAAACGGTGCCGGAGGCCGCTCTGGGCTCCTCTGGGCATCTCCCCCGGGGCCGGTTTTGTGAGGATGTCTCAAGCGAGGGCGCCGGTTTGGGATTCGTCGGCAGATCCAGCGGATCTGTGCGGAAACGGTGCTGGAGGCCGCTCTGGGCTCCTCTGGGCACCTCCCCCGGGGCCGGTTTTGTAAGGATGTCTCAAGCGAGGGCGCCGGTTTGGGATTCGTCGGCGGATCCACCGGATCCACCGGATCTGTCCGGAAACCGTGCCGGAGGCCGCTCTGGGCTCGTCTGGGCACCTCCCCCGGGGCCGGTTTTGTGAGGATGTCTCAAGCGAGGGCG